GCCCTGTCGGACCTTGCCGGCGTAGTGGTGGATGCGGAAGCACCGCGCCGGCAGGCTGGTGTCCATGACACGCCGGGCGTTCTGCGTCTCCTTGCTCTCGTAGTGCTTGTGGGTGGCGAAGAGCTGGTTGAGCTTGGTGAGGAAGGTGTCCTCGTTGACCACGCCGGGCCGCAGGCACTCCTCGTCCAGCATGGCCAGGATCCCGCTGGTGCTCTGTGTCACCCCAAACCGGCCCCAGCAAATCCCAGCTCAGGCTCTGCACGGCCCAGACTCGTACTGGGAGCGATGGGGGAAGCTGGGATCCCAAGACCCCGGCAGTGGGAGGGCAACTCACGTTCTCGATCAAGTTGCAGATGATGCTGTTGTCGAAAAACTCCACCGGTGTCCACTGGATGCCCTGGGAGCAGAGGGGGGTCAGGTACATGGATTGTCCAAGCCCTGCCCCACGGACGTCCCCAGCTGATGTGGGGCAGGAACTGGAAATCCGGCCACGGGGACGAGGATCCCAGATCCCTTCCTGCCATTGAATCTGCTCCCAGCAGGGAGCGGGGCGAGGGAGGGACGGGCGGGGGAACCGTCTCCGGCACTTCCCCATCCCGGGGGGCCGAGGCTCCCGAGGGCTGTGCTCTGGCCAGGGCTGGGGGTACCTCTCGGACATATTCCTCCTGCTCCTCCTTCAGCGTCATCAGGATGAAGATCTGCTGCAGCTTCTCGTTGCAGTAGTTGATGATGAACTGCTCAAAGCCGTTGTCCTGCAGGAGAAGGGTCCTGCATGGCAGGTGGTGCCCGAGCCCCTGGCCCCGTCCCATGTCCGCCCTGCTGTCCCTGCCCCCCGGGATGGGGCCAGGTGGGTCCTGCACTCACCTGGAAGATCTCGAAGCCGTAGATGTCCAGGACACCCATCACCTTCCTCTGCTCACCCGACTTCACCTGGGGAGGTAACGGGGTGTCGGGCCAGGGTGTGCCCTGGCCCCATGTGGGGAGGGGTCCAGGGTCCTGCTG